AGTAATGATCAGATTATTTTTTGAATGTTTACTTAATTTTATTACTCATTTTTAGAACATTCGAAATTTTGATTTTTCTTGCGTCAGTACTAACTTTTAGCAAAGCAAATTCTAGCTTCCTTTTTGCTCTGACAGACACATTAATTTAGAAATTCTTGCAAAAATCAAATAATTGTCGCATTTTGATGAAAATTTCAGAACTTATTTACAAATGCATGAAATTATTTTTGAAATTATTTTAGAAAATCTTGGTAAAAATATTTTTTCACATATGTTACTCAACACTTAATTTTATGAAAACTTGAGAAATTCAACGTGATAATTTTTAGTGATTATATTAGTTAAAAGACAAAATTCTTTGAAGAATTTAAATCTCCGATTTATTTTTTCAAAATCGGACCCTGTCTTACCGAAAATCCTTTCTGAATCGAAGTATGAAAAACGCAATAAAACTATAACATTATTTAATTAGAGAAGATTTTAATTGCTTTTACGAATAATATATATTAAGACAATATTGTCTGATGAAAAAAGATTTTCTCTGAAAAATGATTTTTTACAAGATTTGTTTCATTATTTACAATTATAAATTGAATAACTTATAAAGTGTTTAACTATTTTAAATTTCATTTTCAATAAGATAACTCTTAGAAAATATTGTAAAACTATATTTACCATTCGTATACTGTAAAACTTATTACAATCTGACGACCTCGAATATTTTAAAGGAATTTCGATTTGTTTTTGCGTACGTGATATAAGAACAGAGTTTCAAAATATGGATGATCAAGCCTATAACATTATCATTAAAAGGTTACGTGTTTTAAGGGTTATCTCTTCTCATGGGAAAAATCCACTTATATGAACTTTATCTCTGCTCTCCCATACTTAACTATGAACCCGTTAGGCTGTCAATCGACTGCCAACAAATGGATTAACATATCAGAAAAAAATGATTCTGTAGTTAAGAAATGTTTGTATATATAAGTAATATTTGTTTCAAATCAAATTGATTTAACTTTAAAAATAGTAACTGAAAATAGTAAATTTTAAAAATTGGAAGCTTCAAGAAAGCTTTTTCATTTTTAAAAATTCAGTTTAAATCTTACGTATACCGAATTAGTGACGTACTTATTTTTAATTTACAGGCGTCTTTAAACGTTGTGAATATAATTTACATATTTGTCTTCGATTGGTCCCGAAGAGCGAGGATCGAAAACCTGTCAGCCTCTTTTTTGTTATTTTCTCGTTCATTGTTGTTATCATTATCATTTCGATTCACCTTTTTATGCTGATTTATTTTATTATCCTTGCTTTTTTCCCCACTCTTTGCTATATATATATATATATATATATATATATATATATATATATATATATCATGTTTTGTACAATAAAAAAATATTAAAAATTAAAATTTTCAGGTACACTGGATGGTATATTAATATTTTTCTTTTATTATTTTAATTAGGTTCTTAAACTAGTTTCGGCCAGCATTGCCATCAGCAGGAGAAAAAATATCCCTGTTTGTTAGTAGCAGTGACCTACAGGAGTGAATGACTGTTTCTGAAGAAATTGAATTTTATCTGTAGTCTTCATTTGTTTTTTTATAGTTAATTTTGGTCAGTCCTTGTGTTGGTGAAACGGCCTCTTTGAAGTTGTATTTAAGATAGAGAATGGAAGATTCTTGACTTTAAAAATTCCCTCCTTGGTCATTTTGACATTTTTATTGGTTGCTGGGAATGGGATGTGCGTGTTAAGTGTTTGTTACCTTTTAGTTCTTTGAGAGTGTGTGTGATGTGTGTATGTGTATATATTTATTTCAGTGTGTGTATATTAATGTGAGACCTCAACACCTCTGAAAGCATGTTTGTCTTGTATGAGTGAGAAATGTGGATAGGGCTTGATTTATGGGGTTATATATTAATTCTATCTGTGTTGTTAAATTTGTGGTTAACCCGTATGGACAAAGCGTTTTGAGGTGCAAATCCATTTGTCTTCATGTTTCTCTAGTATTTTTCTAAGGTTATCTTTTCTGTCTATTTCAATTTTTGCAATTATAGTGAATATATATATATATATATATATATGACGTCATACATTATGAAATGGACAAAGTCCGACAATTATTTTAAGAAATTTTTTGTTTATACATTCTTTTTATAGATACAAATATTTAAGTAAATGCTCTGTTTATAATAAACAGTATTAACGACATTTACCGGCCTGAATGTCCGAGAAATTTTCATAGAAAATATGTGTCGGAGGACGGGCAATGGCAACGAGAGTTAGGTATTTTCTGGGACGATAACAATGAACCGACCATACGTCAAGCACCTTTTACGATGGCACGAATATACGCGTATCATTTGATGTCAAGATTGTGCATCTTATTACTATAGACGTTATATTTAGTGGAAACACATGGTTAAGTAGATGTCTGTCTTTTAAGCAATGCATTCTCGTCTACCGAGCTGAGTTTTTCTAGCATCTTTGTTTA